GCCACAGCACATATTCCTAAGAAAAGAAAAAAGAGAAAACAAAAAAAAAAACGAGAAACGAAAGAAAAAACAGAGAATTAGTGACCCATAACTGTGATGCACAGACCTGAATTTGAATCCAGACTCCACACAGACAAACTAGAAGTCTAATGTCCATCTCTGCTCCACGAGGGGTTCTTGCTAATTCGTTGGGGCCCTTCGGAAATGAGACTGGACACAATTAGGACATGCACACCCACACGCACACACATGTGCTCAGAGTGTTGGGGTATGGGGTGGTCCCAACATTTTTTCCTCTTGCAGTTTGATTTTCGGAAGCGAGGGGCATGTTTGGCCATCCCACCCTGTCCTTTCAATTTTTTTTTATTTTTTTTTTTGGTAATGCACCGCATCACGTGCGCTCTGCGCCGCATGTGCCGTGACCCCGCGCATGGATGCGCCGCAAGTATGCTCGATTCTCATGACGGATTGACCGTCAGCTTACCTTTCCTTCTAGAAAAAAGAAAAAGGAATCCTCTCAGCATTGGCATGCTGAATCTGTCAGACTTAACTTTAATACAACAAGACTCTGAATTCTGAAAGACTCGCAATGTAGACTGACGATCTGTCGTGGGAGCCCCCTGCCTCGACCATGTTGTTGGCATGTAGTTCCACCACGCCTCTATGAGACAGCATGGGGGGCTCGGCGCAGACCTCAACCAGCCAGGGGGCCATGTCCGTCTCCCTCCCAGAGCGCTCCAAGAGGGTATGGAACTGCACCTAGACCCTAGACCTCCATTTGTCGTCATCGGGCACGAGAACTGTGTGGAAGACTATATTGATTAACCCAGCCAGTCAATCGCACGGGGAGCCGTTTGTGAGCTAGCATGAGAGTCGCGCATGTGTGGACTTTGTCTTTCACCAACAGGCCTTATTTGGTGTGCATGTCTTGGTCGGGAGGACAGGGCAGGCAGGGAGGGGGGAGCTGGCTGGGCAGAGTCTTGCAGCCCGGTATGACCACAGCATACGGCTGCGTCGATGGGGGAGGCGGGGGAGGGGGGATGCTTCGTGCAGTGTGTGTGTGTGTGTGTGTGTGTGTGTGTGTGTGTGTGTGTGTG